CTGTCCCCCCCCACCTAAAATATAAAATAATAACACCCTTGGCAATGTCGTGCCCTCAGCCCGTTTCTGCTGACTCTCCCTTCTTCTCCGTCCTCCACTTGATGGCCTTTTTTTTCCTAGTTGTTTTTTTTTTGTCCCACCATGCACTGCTCTGTGCCTCCGTCAGGTCTCCAGTTTGGTTCAATTAAACAGTTTTCTTTTCGCCTCTAAACCCCCCCACCCCCCAACTTTCTGCCGCTCGTTTCTTATTTGCGGCTTCATGCTCCCCGGCTGCGACGTGCTCCTGCAACAGGCTGATGTTTCTCCTGTACGCTCAGATCATTTTTTTTAACCCTTTTAGGGCTCTCGTTTTCTCATGTTTCGATGAGCCGACAAGAGTCGGGACCACGTCTGCGACTCCCTGGGGCCTCGGAGCAGAGGTGGAGCAAAAGTACACGGAAAGAAAGTCAAGTGTTTACGGGGGCTGTAAATGCAGCACTTTAAGATATTGAATATGTATACGGGGAGAGGAGAGATACCAGGCTTAGAGTGGATAATTTGATTGGCCGGGGCCATTTGGTGGTGCCAAATAGATGTGATGAGATCTTAGGGATAGCAAGGCGATGACGGCAAATGGGGCACTCTATAACCACAGGTTTACATGGCTGCAAAAGAGGGAGACGGCAGAAACTGTCTCACCCACATCTCTCTCTCGTCTCTTCACCCCCGTCTTGTTGACAAAGAAAGATAGACAACAGATTTTATATTTTCTGATTTGTTTCATATTGTTTTTTATAAAATATTATCCTCTCTGCTCAGACAAAGTGTGTGAGCCCTTAATTGCTAGTACAACCACAACAACTAGAAACATGCAGCTCAGGCACGTGTGTCTGTGTGTGTGTGCATGTGTGTGTGTATGCGAATCCCATCTACAGAGTTTTGTGAGTTTGAGTGTTCATTTCAACCATCTCTCTTGGCTCAAAAATACAGTTTTAATCTTCATCACCTGCTACTTCATTTAAAAGTGTTTACTGGTTCAAATCCCTGCCATGTGTCTCACACTGAACCAAACATGTGACACGTGGCAGTGGATGGACTCCAGTCATTTTTTTCCCCCTACTTTTATAAAAGATGTCTGTAAAGAATAAGATGTTTCTTTTGAAAGCTCATGTTCCCACTTTACCGACTTTGTTCTGGAGCAGCTCACGTTAAGGACATTTGCTCTCGACAAATACCGTTTGTAACTCTTTTACTCCCAGTCTCGCCGTAAACGAGAAACGCAGGCTTCAGTAATAATCCTGCAGAATGAAATGCTGGTTCTGAATTTAGACAGGCTTTTCTTAGTCATAACCATAATAATCCACTCACTCACCCACACCAACGGCTGGAGAGAAACACAGGCACTTCAGAGCTGCTGGTCTGTGGATCAGCTATTTGAAATGTTTAAAGTTTCAAATACTCAATCAATGCAGACAACAGCTGATTATGTGTACGATATGAGTGAAAATGTCAATATTGAGCCAAATTTATTTATATATTTTACAATTCAACCGCTTAAATTCAACCGCAAAATATAGGAATAAAAATTAATTTAACAATATTGGACCGGCTGAACTCTTTATATGAAGAAAAACCTTTTTTCCAAATGGCCCAGAGGTGACGTTCAAGAAAATTCAGTCAACGCTTTTCACTTGTGAAATGATGATGATGGTGGTGGTCGTAGTGCCGTACAGAAAGACAGGGGCAGTAGAGGAAGAACCTTCCTGTTTCCTACCCCAGTGTTTCAGCCGGTGTGAACCCCAGTGAGTGAGTGCAGCGTGGGTGAACTGTGCCTCTACCAGCAGCAACAACATCTACTACGTAAACCAACACAGATGCTCAGACAAACTATCCCCCTGGGTACATTTACATCCAGAACAACAACTGCCCCTGTTGCTCCCTTTTGCTGTTCTTCCCATCCCCTCAGGTGCTCTTACAGTTCCCCCCAGAGGAAGAGGGATAGTCTTTTTTTTCAGCGGGAGGAAGGGAGGCAGAATGCCCCCTGGCTGTGCCCCATAACCCCCCCTCCTCCCCCTCAACCCCAACTCCAAGCCCTCTGCCGTGCCTCTTTATGCCCTTCCTCCCCTCAGCTCCCCCATGGGGCAGGTGACAGCCCTCCACTGTGAAGGGCTAAGGGAGCCATGACGGATTCCACAGATGGAGCGTGGAAATCGCAGGCAAAGACCTCAGCTCTGTGGCGCAACAAAGAGTTGAGAGAAATATGGGCTGGAAAAAAAAGAAAGATGGAAGGACAAAGAGAGGGCGAGGAGGAGAAGGAGGAGGAGAGAGGAGGAGAGAAGGTAGCACTTGTTTAAGGAAGGTGGCAGAGCGTGTGTTTGTTGGGTTAACTTTGGAGTTCTCACCAGAGTCGTGAGTGAAGAAGTAGATGAACTCTAGTGATATTTACCAGGTTTCCTCCGGTGCATCCGTGGTTTCACCATCAGTTCGTCTGGTCATATATTAACATCAAGATGTGCAAAGAACCAGAAGTAAATCTAACAATCCCTCTTGATTTTGATCAAGGTCGGACTCCGGAACCTTCTGAGGAGTCACGTTGTCCCACCTTTTTAAAAGTCCCTGAGACCCTCGGAGCTCCGATTAGGGAATTGTGTTGGCTTTCCCAGGGCCTAAAATCCCTGTGAAATGCCAAAAAAGTGTGCGTGCTGCTAGAGTTGCACGGTGAGCAAAAAAAAAAAAAGCATTCCTTGTAGCCCCTCTCTGTGCAAGAACTGGAGGGGGGAGGCCAAAAAAAGGCATCATCCCTTGTTTTTTAGCAATTCTGTCCAAAACTCCACACCCCGATTCCTTCCCCGCCCGTAGGAAAATGAAATAATATGTGTTGTTGTTGTTTTGGTCTCGTTAGGAATGATGAAAACTGGAAGCTTTTGTCACATGTTTTTTTCATTGTCGATTGCGAAAGGATCGGTACAAAATTTCAACCAGTCAAACTGAACTGTTCAGCCACAGAGGCCATTTTGAATGACCATACATTTCTACTTGCATGTACATTTTTGTGCAGTTGTCCGTCTTTGGTTCTGGACTCCCAGGACCCACATGTGCAAACTTGCAAGATATTCACCAGCGGCTTAAGGAAACATCTCCATTTATCTCACTCCCCCCTTTGAAAATATTTTACTTTTTGCCTCCCTCTTGCTGAAATGTTTCTTTACCAATTTGCTGCTAATGCATGTCAAGTTGACTCCCACTGCTATTGGTTTGTGAGGAGAAAACCGCTGAAGGGGGAGAGAGGATCAGTTTCACATGAGGGGCCCTGAGCTATTTGGATTCCCTTGTATTTTATTGTTGCTTGTGAGGGGGAACTAATACAGTGTTGCACACAAAACTTCCCTTATGCCGAGGGGGGATTAATTAAGTGTAACACAAAAAAGAGGGTGCGTTGGCCTTGGTGAACTCTGAGAGCGAGAGCTGATGGAGTAGTGGAAAGTGTGTGAAGTGGTGTGTGTTTTTTTTTTAAACATAGAAAACAATAGTAATAAGACTGATATGAGACGGAGTAGAAGATAAAAATGGTCAGGACGCATGATATCAACCAGGCTCAGTCAGGCTGCAGAGATCGATGATGATGATCATCAGAGCCTATATTTATTTTCTTTAACCAAATCTTTAAAAAAAAGCTACATGTTATTAAGCAGCAATTCTGACCTTTAGATTTAAAAAATAAATAAATTACTAAAAAAATATGAAATTAAGAAATCAAACATTTTCATCTTGAACCTAATGTTAATATCTTTGTATCTGTGTTGTATAGAAAAAGTCTTAGTCTTAAAAGTTTTAATCAAACAGTTGATTGACCTGGGATATAGAAAAAGTCATTTTAATCAAACAGTTGATTGACCTGGGAACCTGAACCTGCCTGAACCTGATCTAATGCCAAATTAGACAAAGTAAAAAGAAAAAAAGGCTGGTTTATTGTTTTAAAATCTTATATCTTTATTAATTCTATAACATATGTCCATGTACTGATATTAAAAAACACAATTTTTAAACCAAGAAATAAGTATAAATTATAAGAATATGCCATTTAGTAATTTACACAGAGGATTAATTTGTTTTCCTAGCAGAGGTTTGTATCTCTCTCTCTCTCTCTCTCTCACACACACACACACACACACACTCAAATGAACAGTGTCTGAATGGTCCCTGTATCCAAATTAGTCTTTTGTGCAGCTAAGTACACCAGTCCTCCTCTGGTGCTCTGGGAATCTTGTCCACTGGGATTATGTCTTAGACTCATAATATTCCTGGTGAATGGAGGTCTGTTTAGTCCTAGACCATGAAGAAGTGTGTGTGTGTGTGTGTGTCTGTGAGAGTGAAAAGACCGCAAAGCTCCTTTACATAATAGGGTTACATTAAAACAAAGCATTTCATGTCGGCGGTTTTTCCAATTGTCTCACCCAGAGACAGAAAACTCTGAGGATAAAGAATGTCATTTCTGTCATTTATTCTCTTTTCAAACTGTGCAAGTTTGTTTTCCTCTCCGATTCCATCTGTTTGGCTAAAACTCGTGCCACACAATTGACTCAAATAGAGCCGTCACACTTTTATGCCAATGTGATTGCAATATTTTACCACTGTGTTCCAAACAGAGTGAGGCGCTGGTTTACCATCACAGCTGCACCACTGATGCACAACAGGACATTATTATAACTCAATGAGGGTTTTTTATATAATAGGTAATATAGAAGATTGAAAAAGGTAGCATTTATTCTTAATTAAGCCTTTTTTTTACCCCTCATTTATTGACCTGCTTAATTAGCCATTAAAGTCTTTTTGCTCAATATTTAAAATCGGTCATTGACCTTCATGTGTTCCTGAGAACTACTGCTTAAAGTGACTGAGAAAAGACTTCTAATTTTCTGTTGTACGTTCAAATAAAATCTGCTGGACACCAATGCTCATCACACGTCAAATATCAACATCTGACCCAGTTCTCTGTGTGTGCTTTGCTTCCCCTCCAACAGCGAGTCACTCAGACGAGGGTTCTGACGTGGAGTCGGAGCCCGACCTGCCGCTGAAGAGGAAGCAGCGCCGCAGTCGGACCACCTTCACGGCGGAGCAGCTGGAGGAGCTGGAGAGGGCCTTTGAGAGAACACACTACCCTGACATCTACACCAGGGAGGAGCTGGCTCAGAGGGCCAAACTCACCGAGGCTCGTGTGCAGGTACGGAGGAAACAAACACACACACACACACACACACACAGGTCTGCACACGTGTGAGATGAGGAACAGGAAGTTCAACCTTCTTAACGTTACTGTAGATGACGGAGAGTTTATAATAATCTTTGGAGCTGATATTGGTTCAGTCTATGAGTGGCATCTAAATAAAGGTTTTTTCAAGGGGAGCTAAAGAAAATAGAATAGACAAATAAGCCACTAGGAGGCGACGCTGATGGTAGTGAACAAACAAGATGAAAGTGTGAAAAATTACAGAATACGTCTATCTTTTTTTGGGAAAAGTAAGTTTATAGTTTCATTAAGAGTTTGGTGTCTGTGTCGTTAGATTCAGATCCTACGTCAGTGGAAAATGATGTGAATGAAAGTGTAGTTGGATACAATACTACAATACTGAGTACTGATATGTAGAAGACAGATACCTGGTTAAAAGTAATATTTGAAACCTCTGATTTGAAAAAAAAAAAAAAGAAAAAGTGCTGGTCACAATTCTTCAAAAGTTATGAATATTTAAATCACACATCCTAACTGACTAACAGGAAGATCTATTTCATTTGTCAGACTTTGTTCATTTTATATCAAACAATGTTTGGTTACTATGACAAAGACAATTCTTCAAAAGTTATGAATATTTAATATAATATTCAGCACAACTCTGTCCTTACTTCTAATGGTTATAAAAAAAAATCTCTTATTTGCCTTTACTCTATGTTCTTAAATAACACAATAGTACACACACTCACACGCACACACACACACACTCTGTGCTCCCAGGGGCCCAGTCAGGATTTTTCCCTTGTTCTGATCTGGAGTCTGGTAAATTCTCCTCCACAGGCTCCATATGGGAAGTGTGAGTAAGCCCAGCATGTGCTCTGACCATATGGACACGACATGTCACTCACTCGCACACGTGCACACACACACACACACATACACACAAACTGCAGTCAGGCATGATATACAAGGGTACACACACACACACGCATGTCTTGAATCTTCTTTAAAGAAAAAAAACAACCTTCAACCATGAAGACATGAGGTTTACATGTATTTTCTTGTGTCTTCTCTCTGTCATGATATCTACAGGTGTGGTTCAGCAACAGGCGAGCGAGATGGAGGAAGCAAGCCGGAGCCAATCAATTGATGGCGTTTAATCACCTGATTCCAGGGGGCTTCCCTCCGTCAGCCATGCCCAGCATCCCTCCCTACCAGCTCTCTGACAGCAGCTATCCTCCCTCGTCTATAGCACAAGGTAGAAAGTTGGTTCCTCTCAGAAAAATTATTAAACCACATTCACAGGCTTCGCTATTGATTCACATGGTTTTCAAACACATTTTCAATCCAATTGTTGTTTATTTATTAGATATTATGGTTGATTTTAAATTAAAAAGTAGCACACCATATATGTGTATATACATAAATATATGTATATATGTGTAGATATGTGTAGATATATTTAAAAGAAAGTTGAAAACCTACATATACGTATGTATATATATATACATATATCTCTGGATCCCAAATTCCCTCCATTTCTATCTCGTCCTTTCCTTCACTCTCTCCCCCCTTTCTTGTAACACAATTAAAAACATTTGAAGAGTCTTGACCCAAAGTGCTGTAAAATACTAGTGATTACTACTAGTAGTAAATACTAGCACAAAAGCCAGCAGTAAAACAGAATTTAAGTCGTTGTCTTACTCAAATTAGATTTTACAAAATGTATTTATATAAGATTCTATATAATCTGTGTGTCCTAAAAGAGAGAGAAAAATGTCCAAAATCAATAAACTGTAAAAATATTTTTTAATGGTGGAACAAGGACAAATCCTGTGATGAGAATTGATTGAGTACAAGTCTCATTGAAACTCTGAAAACTCTCAAATGAACATTTATTTAACGGTAATTTAAACTCCGTGTTGAACGACCTCTCCTTAATCCTGTTGCCAGTGTCGGAGCCTCCCAGCACGGTGCACCGGCCCCAGCCCCTGCCTCCCTCCTCGGGCCACCAGGCGTCCGGTGCTGGAGGACAGGGTGAAGCTGCCTCTGCCTACTGCCTGGCCTCAGGGCGCCCCTCTTTCTCAGGCTACTCAGACAGCTTCGTCAGCCCCGGAGGACCAGCCAACCCCATGAACCCCACCATTGGAAACGGACTTTCTCCACAGGTGAGACAGAACCTGCTGACATATATCTAACACAGAGGTTAGAGACGTCACGGTGTGAGCCAGTTTACACTGGAATTATTTGGGTTCCTACTGAGCGGGAAAACCGTGGGACTAATTTGCTGTGGTCAAATTCCTGTAGACTGATATCAACTACAGAGAAATCTCAGTAGTGAATTGGAGTGAACAGTGTTACGTGTGGGGCCTTTTAAACGCTATAATCAGTTGTGTAAAAAGCAGCGTGTTTGACTGCCTGGCTACCTCAGGAGAGAAGGATAGTTTTCACTTACGCACTGGAACTTGGATGTAATTTTCAAAGGTTTGAGCCAAGCTGACGTGTAGGTGATTTATCACGTCAGGCCCACTCTGCCTTCGTGATAAATCAGGCTGTAAAAACATGTTTTTTTTTTGTTAAGAACTCAAATAATGTCAAAGCAGGTGTAGGATGCATGAGTCACACGCTCCTCTGCAGAAGCTCAGGGTTAGGGTTACTTCCTGGTGGAGAAGACTCCACGTCACGAAGGACATTTGAGTGTTTGAAACATGAAAGGTGAGAAGAAACAAAAAAAATAGAGCTATTTATCTGGGTGCAGAGCTCTCGGGTGTGTGTGTGTGTGTGTGTGTGCACTACAGAGGAGACACAGATCTTAACAGGCAGAAAATGAGATTTCGGCATGGTGCTGCGTGACTCCTTAGAGAAGTACGGCAGCGGGAGTGCGTGTCCTTCCACACTGATGGTGTAGATAATAATCAGCTCCATGACAATTTACAATCATTTAAGGATTTTCTAACATGATTTGCACAAATCTGACCTGGCGTGGTCCAAGCAGCGTCTCCGGGGTCGGGTTTAGAACCCTCACCTCGGTTTAATTACTCACCCATTTTTAATTAGCTTTACATGGGGTCGGACGAGTGAGAGGATCTCACCAAACACTTCAGAAAGTAGGACAAACACCGAGCTGACTTTCAAACAAACACGATGATGGTAAAAAAAACAAACTCCAGGCCGCGCCCCCCCGAGGGAAGGTTCTGGTGATTGAATTCTTAAAATGTTTCCCTCCACATTCCTCTATGTGAAAACAGGGCTTCCAATTTATTTGTATATATTTCATATGCCGGCTGAAGGAATATCCTGCCTTCAGATGTTCTCCTCATCCTGAAACTTGACTTCTTACTCCCGCGTTCAGCGCCCATGGCCACTGGCCACAGTAGTGCTTCAGTATGAAATGCCAGCCAGCCAGCCCGCCGCCGTCTCAGGAGGCAAGCAGAGGCTCCGAGGGATGATGGGTAACGGCAGGTAAAAGACAGGAATAGTTCAACTCCCCAGGAGTTCAGGGAGCGCGGATCTTTGCTCTAAGTGGCGTCTTTCAGAGCTCTCTTCGGTTTCAGACCAAACCTTTGGTGAAGGCAGGTTAATTTTTAAGGAAAACGTTACTGGGCACAGGGAGGAAACACTGCTCCCTCTCCAAATCAACACAGACTCCTCCATTCACCTCCCCGCGCTTGGGAAATGATTTAAACAAGACCATGTGTGTGTGTGGATGTAGAATAATATGTCACTTAGAGAGCCGAGAGGATCCAAAGAGCAGTGTACCTGCTTCTTATTAGGACAAATGGAGGAGCCCCGGGGGCTTCGCTCTGCTCTGTGTGTGTGTGTGTGTGTGTGTGTGTGTGTGTATGGGATGTATGCAGAGGTGGCAGGTAGTGGTCAAGTTGCTCAGTTAAGTGAGCAACGTTCTCCCCCCGACCCCCCCAGCTCTCTGGTGATCAACAGGTAAAAGTCGGTGCTGAAGCCGGGGGTGCGTGGTATCGGGTCGGTTTTGGAGACCCTTGTTTTGAAACGCTTTGCCCCATGGCTCTTTTCCGCTCTCTCCTGGCCAAGCAATATTCCCCCCAAATTCGATTATGCAGTCGCTAATAAAGACCAGGTCAAGAGCTAACGGATTTCTCAAACTTCAAGTCTATTGCGAGGTGGAACCAACCGTGCTCGCACAAACCCTTTCTTTTAAGTTATCTCTGTCCACACATCTCCCGCTCTCTCTCTCTCTCTCTCTGTGTCTCGTGTATTAGACGTTATCTTGTTCCACGGGTTTTTGGAGCAGTGTCAAAAAAGTAATGTTAGAATAAGTGGAGCAGTGGATCTGAGACAAATTGCCTAATTCTTCCTCCCTGCTGCTATCTGCGTCTGAGACAGGCTCTCTGGGAGCCGTTTGATGTCTGCGACAGGGGAATTTCCTATGTGTGTGTCTGAGTGTGTGTGTGTGTTTGTCCTGCTGTCTGAAATATTTATAAAAGTGCATGTTTGTGTCTTAAAGTGACAGATGTCTTACATCACAGACATGTCACGAAGCAACAAACGCCACAGGAACCATGGCGTCCACAGGGTTCCTCCTTATTGTAAATGTAACGGAAGCAAAACAACGACATCCGTGGGTTACACAAGTGTTACAGCGGTTTTAAACTGCGTTATATGTAAAGTTTTGTCTTTAAATATGTTAAAATTAGGTCAATTCAAGGTACTGTAAATCAATATTCCTACATCTGACAAACATGTTATTTTCTTTGTTTCTCTATTTTTCAGAAATATTCGTATCATTCCAGAGTTGAATATCTAGTGAAAAAAAACAAAAATCTAACTTCTTTTTATTTTTTTTTTTGTTTTGCTTCAGGACTTCTTTCCTCTCCTTTTTTTTTTTTTTTTATCATCATCATCTAGTGAAAAAAACAAAAATCTA